TTGTTCCGATTTTTAGGCTGCAATAAGTAGACTCCAGTTTTAGAAAACAAATTTTATCAAATGGGAACTAATTTCAACTTAATTTAAACTCAGGAAACAAAAACATTAAAAACCTTCTTATGCATTCTTCTAGATTTCAAACCGACATTGACGCAGCAATCGTCTGTCAATGGCTGTTACCTCAAATTATTAAATATGTCGAGGCTTGCAAAAAAAAATAAGTTTCTTATTTTTTTCAGCAATCTATTAGAGTGAAACTCGTATAAATCTAAATATATTCCATAAGGTTCATGGTCCATGGTTCATATAAATTACCTAAGTTAACAATAACGAACTAGTCTCATAAAAGTATAAATTGGCTTAATTTTGTGCTATTTTTGAATTCAACAAAAAGAGTACATATAAAAAGAAAACAATGTTTTCTTCAAACAATAAGTGGAGCAAACATTTATACTTTGCGCTTTCAAGCAGCTGGTCTTAATTTAAAATTGTACAAAAAAATAAAGTGTAACACTTGTATGTTGATTATTCGTTCTCAATTAAGCAGAGATATTTTCCAAAAAATTAAATAGAACACGGAATCGGTCAACTGTAGAGTTTTGTGTATTACGTTTGGTCTTGATTAGAATTTTTTGCTTATCATTTTTTTAACTACATGGTTTTATTCTCGGTTTCAATGTAAAGCAAAAGTTATTTGCTTTAATATAAGTATGTACATACATAGTTATATTTTTAGAAAACAATTAATAGTTAATTAAATATCTTCTATTTACGTAAGTACTTCTACGAACTCTTGAATTAGTTTAACCCTTTGGAAAATATACATATGTGGAAGGAAATCTAAACAAAACCAAACAAAAATAAATTTTTCCTTGAATTGTGTACGTTTGCGCTTCAAAACTACCTTGACCTCGAAAACTTTTGTTTACTTCAATTTCGGGCAGTAGAATCTATCTATTGTTTTTTTTTTTTGACATGTTGCCAATTTCCTTTGACTGACGACAGGGGAATGCCTGAACTAAAAAATCGAAAATAAATTTTGAAAGGACACAATGTGTGCATCATAAAAATAAAATTGTGGAAAACTAGAAACTTTTTGGTTTCCTTTCGAAATTTGTAATGGATTTCCATCAAGGATCGGTAAATCAATCTCTCAAAAATCAAAATTGATAACAACACCCAACCTTGCACGAAAACCTAAGAGGCAATAATTCAGATAATGCGAGATTTCAAATATCGACGACGCAATTTCACTGCAAACTGCAACAAACTTTTTTTCCATTGTAACTCGTGAAACGATGTAATGGTACAAATGAACATTTTGTCATAGTTACTATTTCAATTATTCTTGAAGAATATCAACCATTAATCAAGGTTCATTTTGGTGTTTTCCAACTTTGTCATAATATGAGACGCCATTGGACAGTATGAATCAACCTATCAATAATTATCAAGCAGGTGATTAAGAAACCCTAAAAAATGCAACTTTAGTTATTTTGAAATTTTTAAAAGTTAATACACTGCATACTAACAGTTTTCAGAACTATCGGCAATTCAATAATGAATAATGGAATTTTGAAATGGTATATCTTGTTTAATTTTCACTACGCCCGTGAGTTTTTAATTGTACCTCCGGTGAGTATAATTATTACTGTAAGAACGCTTATACACAATTTCCATGTAAGATTCAATATCATAGAAAAATTGCGATGCATAAAAAGTCGAGTCGTGTCAAAGTTCTTGAATGGTTCACGAACATATTGTTTTTTTTGCCATTTGAATTTATTCAAATTCATATTTGACGCACACTGTTACTTTTGTTTGTTCTATCTGCTTGAACAATTCTTGTTTGTAAATGTGCTATTTATCAATGACTCATTGAAATAACTAAAATGGTTACAGGCTGTTCTTTGTTAGAAGCAATTCCGCCGAATATATTTTCAAATTTTGGAAAAAAAGGGAATAAACAAATCTCTTCTGTACTACAGATAGCAAATAATGTATTAATTACGTAAAATATTCTGATTGCTACTTGCTATTCAATCTCATAATTTTGTAAATAATCCATAGGAATGTGACACAATATGACCGCCGCCGCAGCTTAACAAACCAAGGTAATCCTTTTGATGCTATTATAAAGAAACCAATCGAAACCCCTTATTTGGCCATACTGTTTCTCAAACGTGCATACATCCAACTACCTGCCAGTATAAATCTATCAGGTAATATTACAGCAATATGCAGCACACATTGTAAAAATGCATTATATGTTTTTACATACGTAACCTTTTTCTTAGCGCGCATTCCATGCATATCTTGCAAAGGTCGTTGAAGGTAAACGATTATTAGGGATTTGTTGCTGTGCAAACGGTAAGTGTAGAGGATCCACATTGACCGATTCAGAAGGTTGATAATCTATCCATCTCACTTCAGTGGCCGTAGCATTAGGCAATATTGAATTCTTGAATGAATGATTATTTATAAAAAAATTTCGTAAAAAAATAAATTTGGTAATACGGTATTACTATTCACGAATGAAGAAATAATCTAGGACAATTGAGCCTATGAGAACTATAATGGTCCAAGTCACATAAACTAGATTTTGAGATACAATGCTTCAAAGTTTATGCTTAATGGAAAAATCTCGAATAATGTAGAATACATTTTTTTGTTGTCAATATCTTGTAAACACATCAATTTAATATTTAATGTAAAATAAGAAAAGATTTGGAATGTTTTAGTAGGCATTTTTTAGTTTTTTGTAACTTGGACCACTATGGCTTGCAATCTCATGAAGGAAAATGAAAACATTACAATTTTAATATTGTTTATTTTCCCAGAAAATTAACAAATTTAACTAATCAAACTTAATCAATCCTTTAAGCATCTTCCTCCTCTTCCAAGTGCTCTTCTAGAGGGCCAAGATCTTCCGTATCTGCGTTTCCGAAAATGTTTTTACGCTTTTACGCTTGTTGAAAAGGAGGAATGAACTGGAAAAGTTCCTCTATGTCTTTTTTCTTTTTGGTACTTTTTGGCACTTTTCAGATTCTTCGGTACTCATTTTCATTAGATTTCAACGTACAAAAATAAACATTGCCCATCTTAAAATAATAGAATACTGACTACTATTGAAAGCAACACTGGTCCAAGTCACTCTTGTACCACTCTGGCTCTCAAAGCTTTGACAATTTTATTAAAAAGTAAAACAACTAGTGACATCAATGATTAAAGTATCGAAGATACGCGCACCAAACTCATTCAGGATGAAGATTTCTGTGATATATAGCGATATCATACATTAGTCTGCAAAACGATATTTTGTGACTTATACCGTTATGGCTTCCAACGGCTCAATTAATCCAACCCACCTAAAAAATAACTTTCACTACTATAAGTACTGATGATGCTTTACAGGCGCTTCAGTTTTTTGATTTAACCAAATTAAAAGTAGCAGTATACCCAAAAGCTATAATTATATAAGGAACCACACCTAGGTACAAAATTCATAGAAATATGCTCTCAGAAGAAGATACCTATTTCCACGTCAACCAAGAGAGGCCCATACGGGTAATAAAGATGGAGAGTCAATAAATTTCAAATCCCTATTCTGTGTTCGATGGAGATAAAATATCAATACATTGGAATGTCCCAATCATGTAAGAATTCAGTGGCGTAGTAACGTAATATAAAACTAGAAACTCGAAAGATAAGTGCAGTTTTCCTTTAACACTGCAGTACTCACGCATTTAAAAATCATGTATCTACTCGCGCGAGGTATTTTGAACCCCATATGGAAAAACTACCTAATATTTAAAGCAAATGTAGGATTTTTATTTTCAGATGATTTTATCCATATTTTCATTACCATACAATTAAAAATAACGAACAAAGAATATCTAAAACTAATATTAAAAAAAATCACTTACCTATCTACTCGCGCGGGGTATTTTGGACCTCATATGTATATTTTATTACTTATTTATTATTAGGAAATTTTTTTATCAATTTTAATTAATGTCTGCATGCTACTGAACTCATTGACACGCTATAAATTATATCACAGAGGATGAAAAAATTAGAAAATTACCTACCACAATAAAATATTTTTGACAATTTTGGTCGCGTGGGGTCCAAAATACCCCAAACGATATTTTGGGTAACACTACGACGTCAAATCGAGAAAAAAAGTGCTGCGGTACGATTAGCGGTAGGTACTCAGCAGACTATCGGCAAGGATTAGCACCCACCTCGCGACGCGGTACAACCCTCCACTAATAAACATTCATCCCCAAAATAATCGCGGGGTCCAAAATACGCCGCGCGAGTATTGCAGTGTTAAATATTAATTTAATGAATCTTTTCTAAAAACTGAATTACAAACATTTCGTAAGTAGGTATTATTGATATGAGATTTTTACTAACGAGATTTTTAGTATTTTTTCATGTGATTTTTTTACCGATGGGACGGTTGCTTTAGTCAGCCCTTGTCAATAAACTGCAAAGATCATTGGATGGAATGCACATAAATTTCTCTGGCAACAAAAATGTACAGTATTTGTTTTTTCCTCGGTTTTTTCTCACCCTTGAGGTGACGATTTAATTACCTTTATTCCATTAGTGACATAATTTTAACTACCACACGTGACATATTAAAATAATTAGGTATTACATTAGACAAGAATTATATTGTTATCCCATGAGTGCAGACCTTATAATTATAATTGAACTAGACAGAAAGTTTTGGGAAAACGTGGACCAACGGTATGCTGAAAGGAGACGAAGGAGGGCAAATAAAAGAAAATGTCTCGGGTCTCTGTTTATTTTCGTTAAAAATAGGAATCACTCTGAAATTTAACACAAGAGTTCATTAAACTTGCTGGTATTGTTTTTTATGTGCCCTGGAGAGTTAATGATTTTTTGGTGATGGACTCATTACATTTTTTTGTTGTTGAGTTTCGCTGATAAGTATTCATTTCTTAAGCAACTATTTTTTTTTCCAGCTGATAAGGAGGCAAGACTGCGGACATTCAAGGAGCGGCAAAATGAAGAGCGGCAAAAGAAACTGGAAGAAATAAAAGCACAAGCCCTCGCAGCACAAAGGTTCAAAGAACAGAAAGAGCAAGAGAGGCGAAGGAGGTTAGATGAAATGAGAATCAAAGACGACTCTCGAAGGCACCAAGTCGAGGAACGAAAGCGAGCTATAAATGATGCTGAACGGGATAGATTAGAATCTATTATTCGCAGGAATCAGGAAAGAGAAGCTAGGATTGAAACGAGAAAAAGACATGAACGTAGTAACATTGTTTTTGCCTTTGGCTCTTCAACACCTCGCATGCTGGACAATACTGACGCCTCCTTGTCGTATTGGGGACAGAGAAGGGCCACATCCATTCAGAATATAACTTCAACTGCCACTCCAAGCAATTTAACTCGGAGACAAAGTGAAAGAGATTTGGATGCGGCCAGTAAGAAAAGGGCCACCTCTGCGGGTGGTTCGGATCGCCCTGAGAGTATGTATACGTATTATTTATAATAGTTTTGGGCGAAATTGGAAAGTGTTTTTTTTAGTGATAAATTTGAAGTCTTAGTTTTTACTTCAAACAATTCTTAATTCAAAATGGGAATTTCAAATATAAAGTTCAAGTAGATAATTTCCATTAATATGAAATCCCTTCTTTCTCGAAAGTTTGGTGTCCATTCCATAGCGTAAAAGTCAGCCGATTGGCCACAATTTAGTTCTTGATAGTTTTATTTTTAATAAGTTTTTTGGGCCCTAATACCAGATGAAAAAGTTTTGAGGTCAGCAATAAATGAATTACAAAAAAAAAAAAATAAGCATAGTCTATTTGTTTGATGTAGGCAGAGAAGTATTTGCAATTAATGTAAAACTATGTCAAAACCTATTCTCGGAAGTAAACTAAATTTCTTATGTCACCATTAAAATTTTCCACAATACCCTTCCAGCAAATTTTTAACTAAAATCTCAACTCACCCTGATAAAAGTCCGAGGGTCAATTGCATTGTATGATTTCGGTCTTCGGCGAAGAGTTCCATTTTTACCATATTATTATTTCCCATTACAATATTTGTAATTCAATTAAATTACTACATATTATTTTTGCTAGCTTGTCTGTACTTCTTCCTGGTAAATCTTTATCGTATCTGACTACCCTATGAATTTCGTCTGAAGTAGGGATATGTTTTTCAAAATAAAATGAATGAACTGTTCTTCTGATTACTTGTCTATCATACAATATTTCTGTTTCCCGTTTCTGAAGAAGTCAAATTCCCAATTTCGTTGCATGTTAAATTCAATATGCACTTCTTATATTGACTTCTATCAGTTTTCAACACATTCCAGCAATTTCACCAATGAATTGTCTTTTTGGTAAGGGTCAAAGCAGAATAATTATTGATAAATATATTCTCGTTTCTATAGAAAATTTGGAAGAACTTATCAGTCATTTTTCACTTTCCTTAAATTCATGCAAATGTTTAAAATTCACTATCCACCATAAATAATCTTCTATCACTAAATGGCATAGGTAATTACATTAGTAGGTACTTGTACAAATATATCTATATTATTTAAGTATTGTAATTATCAATTTATCACTAAACCTATTGCAGAATCAGAAAGTCGATTTTGACTTAGATTTCCCACTGCCTCCCATTTTCAAATAGACTATGGAAAATTAAAAATCCTATTTTGTATTGAATTTGGCACTAAGAATGTGTAGGTTAAAATCTCGATTAAAATAGGCTAGATAGATACGTGTTGTAAGTATACCAAGTCTGTGTTACAGGTGTGACTCTTTTTGTTTAGGGAAATTTTTGTTTTTGTTTTCGTTTTTATAGCATGAAATTTTGTTTGGGTACACTTTCACAGTAGCACTGCAATGATTGTGAACGATTTATTTATTTATTATTTATTTTTTGCTTAAAAGCTCCACAAAACACTTCAGCAAAAAAAAAGACGAAAACCTACTTTTGTTTTCGCTTACCTATTCTAATAATATGTACTTTATGTATTTGGCCAATATTCATCGAAGTCGCAATATACATAAATAATAAGATTTCCTTATGCCTTTTATAATATTAGAAATTAATATCATGTATATTGTAAAAATGTATACTAAGTACGCTTTAATAATTGCAATTATTACATTCCCAAATATAATCATTACAAAATCCAATGGATAGGAGCTTGTTAACAACACTTAAAATATTTTTATTTGAAAATAGTATTCAAATTAGGATAATTGGTTAATTAGGTTTGAGATATAAAGTCTATGATGCCATTGAATGATGATGTATCCAAAGCAGAGAGCCAAAAGATTGAAATAAATGTTTCTACAGGGGTGAAGAAATACAAATGTTGAATCAAAAAGTCATGTTAAGTATGATACTGTGCAGAATGTGAAAAAGTTCATCATGTGAGTGGTGCAAAACGTAAAGATCTGACATTTTCGCGCCGAACTTTCCTAGTGTAGTGACAAGAAAAAAATGTAAACAATGACACCGAATACGAAACAGATTGATAGCTGAAATGGCACACGGTAATCAATTCGATTAGAATCAATTATGAATTCGAACATTGAACTTCTGTTCCAAACTTCGCCCAGACCCTTGAATCAAAATCGACGGTCATCAAGTTGAAAATAATTTGATGCAGGCACAGCACCAGAATCCACAAACAGCTCCTTTACCCCGCGACCAAAATTATTGTCAGTGACTTGTATCACAGCATGTAAGGTTTATGAAGCGGTAGTATTAGCGTGATACACATTTTCGACTTTATTATCACGATGCCGCTCACTTGATATAGTGTTGATAGTGGCATGATTCAGTACAATAATTTCAGTCCTAGGGCACAGGATGAGAACAAAATGAAAATGACTGGTTGATGTCTGGCTGGCAAAAGAAATAATATGGGTAAAAGGTTTGTTGCCATTCGGGGGACAGATACATTCAGACGATTCCCACACAAAACAGTCTATCGGACAAGTTTCCTGGAATAACTTCAAGAAGCAATCAAAACATCCAAACAAATACGGCACAATGAAGGTCACCTTAAGTTAAGATAATTTCAGAAAGCCTTGAACAGAGAAGTTTGGCCCAGCAGATCAGTAAATCGTTTTTTCACAGAGGGGAAGATGCCATTAGTGGAGCAAGTGGATCCTCAAAAAACAGAACGTGCATGGCCTGAGATCGAAAATAAATAACATTTCCCCAAGAGTACTCTCGAATTTTATGACATAATTGCACTGGCTGAGATATGGTTGAACACAGGTGTATTTGAACTCTCATTGTCAAGTCTGGATGTAGATCTGTCCCCCTTAGTATATTTTATGAAAATATGTACATATTCCTAGATAATCCTAAGTATACCAAAGTTAAATATGAATTTGAACACTGAGCTAAGTTTCCAACTTGGTTCTTCATTGATCTGGTACCTAAAGTTAGGGAAAACAATAGGCTTAACGATTCTATTTTGAAAAATAAGGTACGACGTGTACAGAACATCAATTGAAAACCACCTGATGGCAAATAAAAATACTAATTGAATCTTAGATTCTTCGGTTTATAGGTCGGAATCAAAACTCTGGATTTCTCGCAACATCAAACACGAGAAATCCAGAGTTTTTATTCCGTCCTATAAACCGAAGAATCTAGATTCAATTAAAATTTTTGAGGACATGAATTAATATCTAAGATAAAAATACTTTCTGGAGTTCCTTTAAAAGTGAAACAAAATAGTGGAATCCAAAATTTGGTTATAAATGTCAAATTCTTGAATCATCTGCGATACGCAGATAATATTGTAGGTAGTCTTGGAGTGCGTTCGAAATCACTCTGGGCGTCACACCGAGTGCACACCAGCCATGAATAATTCATGGCTGGTGTGCACTCGGTGTGACGCCCAGGGTGATTTCGAACGCACTCTTGAAGGACAAAAAATAAGAGCTACAGAGAACTGAATAATGAATCGACAAAAATAGAACCAAAGATGGATTACATTAAATCAAAAATCATGTGAAACCAATAGGAAGAACTGTGATTATAGCATCAACAAAAACAGAACAAGTAACGGAATATTTATACCTTAGATAAATTACATGACCAAATAAAGATTCAGACAAAAAAAAAGTGAGCAGAATGAGAAGGACTTGAGCATCACTGGAAAAACTCTCCCATATCCTGAAGATTAACTAATATCATCAAGATTTAAGAACAAAGATCTTCAATTGATGTATACTCTCTATCCTCACATACGGCTGTCGAAAAATAAGCAACAGCACAAATAGGCATGGAGTGACAAATGCTAAACATCAAACTAGCAGAGGAATTGCTGGGTTCGTATTGGAATAAACATAAAAGATATCTCGACACAAGCAGCAAGACTGAAATGGGAATTCGCTGGACATACTTTGAGACAAAAATCTCTTTTGATTCATTTATAAAAATGTGTGCCCCTCCTTTTCATTCCTGGTTATAGACTTTGTTCTCTTCTCGTTTTTCCTTGTTCATTCAGTATGTTCCCTGATATATTAGGCCACGTCGTCATTAACTTGTGTAGTTAAGAATAATCACAAAATATTTTTGGAAAGCAAGTTATATTTTCTTTTTATGGTCCAATGCTTTCGAAAAATCATTGTATATTAAGCATTTAATTTAGAATTATCATAAAGGGGCGGAAATTACATTTTATAAGCTAAGCTATAAGGAGCCAACAAGAAGACAATCCAAGCGGTCAATTTTTAGGTCTGACAAGTCCCACGATTCCAGCCGGGTGCGCAAGTGGGTATCTGGGCAGGCGCAGAACCGACTTAGTACCAACAATACCATCCAGGGACTCCTCTTTCCATTCGTCAGCATCACGCAAATCGCTCAATCACTCCCCAGGTATGGTGGTTATTCTAAAGCGTTTTGGCTATTTAAAAATAATGATAAACCTTGTGTGAAAGAACTATGCTTGGAATGTTTCATTAAGGATATCTTGTGCATGCGTTTTTTAGATACTTTATTTACTTTTTTTAACATTTTTGACATACATGTAACATACGTCATTAGTTAAAGCTTTAAATTTTCATCCTTCTTATCACAATAAATATTTATAAAATTTTCCATGTATAGATTGGAAAACAAATCTCATTAGGTATTCCATTCACAACAAAATTCACGTCAATAAAGTAAAACCTTCATAAAAGCTTTCATTGTACTTTAGGGATCAGGATTATATCTGCTGGGGCTGATTGCTGATTTCCAAAATTACCATTTTTTTCGCAGTTTAGGGCAAAACATTTATCCTATAGGAAGTTTGAGCTAACCACCTCAAATATCTTCAAAACCCCTAGCATTGGCTTCACTCTCTTTTAATACAACTCTGAATAATAAAATAGTGAAATAATATAAATTTGAGGTGGATACTTAAGCTTGTGCTAAAAGCTACTAGGTGAGTCATCCAAATCGAACCACTACAGAAGCTCTGGATAGTTTATTCTACTCCTCTGAAAAAGTGGTATTCAAATCGGAATAGACAAAGATTGGAATACAAGTGGCCGGCAGCAAGGCAAGGCTCGCTTAGTGGATCGTTTTGAAAGGCGCTCCTAGTATCATCAAAGTTATTTTTTTAAAAGTTATCATGTGTGCTATCTGTCAAGTTTTTGGTGCCTTTAATACAATTGTAATTATTATTTGCCATAACGCTTGAAAAAGAACATTACACATATTTTACATACAAGTTCCAATTGCTCTCCAACAGGTAGGGCATATTCAATGTCTCGCTTAGACCAGCTAGCTAAGCCAAGGAAACCGTTGTTGCCAGCTTTAAATGAATCAAATATGTCTCCCAAAAGCTCAATGACTCGCAGCATGGGTCACCTAGCTCATGTGGGTAGCGCTAAACTGAGTCCGAGAAAACCTCTGAACAAAATTGACAGTCGCAGTATGCATCATCTGAGTCCAGATGGACCTGTAGCTCCTCCAAGGGTGAATAGGGCCACTCAGCTACGCAAAGAGAGGCTGCTGGCTCAGCAGTCTGGCAGTACCAGCGAGGGTACGACCATCTTGCTTCGTATTGTCGTTTATCGCAGGCAGTGGTTCTAGTATTGCTTTTTTTAACTCTTGGGCCAGAAGTATGTTGGTTTCGGTTTAATACTGCTTGGAGATCTTGCAGAAAGTGCTTTGTTTCGTTGAATCATGTTTTAACATTGCAATTTTTGGCAAGAACTTCATTAAAACTACCTGCCATTATCTTGTCAGATTCTGTAAAATCTAAAATTTCATCTTTTTGTAAAAAAAGCACAGTAACATCTTAAGCCCGGGACACATCTATCATGCATCCTTCCTTCCGATCCGACTCCGATCATACAATGAGGGTCCTTAAGCCCGGGACACATCTATCATGCATTCTTCCGATCCGACTCCGATCATACAATCAGGGTCCTTATTCTTGGAACAGGGAGCAGCGTTCCCAGGAGAACGAGTGTTCCGTTACTCCCCTGTTCCAAGAATAAGTACCTTGATTGCATGATCGGAGTCGGATCGGAAGAATGCATGATAGATGTGTCCCTGGCTTTATTCTTGGACAACAGGAAGCAGCGTTCCCAGGAGAACGAGTGTTCCGCTGCTCCCCTGTTCCAAGAATAAGGACCTTGATTGTATGATCGGAGTCGGATCAGAAGAATGCATGATAGATGTGTCCCTGGCTTAATTCAGGTGAAAGTCATATTTCATTGTATAACTTGTCAATAACACTTATGGATCTATTTTTCATCAAATTTGTATCAGCTAAAATCGCTGATAAACCTGTATCTGAGAATTTGTGAAGCTTTTAATTGTCGATAATATATATTTTTCATTTTATTCAATTATGTGGTGGTGGGTGAAATTTGATAATTTTATGTTTTAACTATTTTGTAGCTTTATAATAGACCATATTGTTTACATTTACACAAAAAAAGAATTAATAAAAAATTGTGGTGGATACCCACAAAAGCACCGCCAGCGCGCACAGACGAGTCAGAACGTCTTCCACCCTGACCCCAATGTTTTGTCTATTCTTATTGTGATCCGTCTTTGGTCTAGAGTACCTACCTCATCCAGTTTGTGCGGCGGTGCTTTTCTTGACTTTTTTGGAAACAATATGGAATATAAGGGACAGCTGTATAGCTATATAGTTGAGTACACAGCACATTGCACATTTTTCAAGTCACTGCACAGTACCCCTTGGGTAGATATTTGCAAATATTTCTAAAGGAGGATCTATCAACAAGTCGTGTGGTGTTTTGTCCTGGCAGTTGTTGGTTGATTGAAATATATTTAGAGCTCATAGTAAAATTTGATGTGCTAGGGTACTTAAATTCTTGTTGTGCATTTATCATTCTTTTACTATCTAGGTATTCAGTTTTTAGCAAGGGGACTATATATGTTTGTTGTTTTACTAAAAATCTATATGCAACCATCTAACTTTTACCCAACAAGAAGTTTCAGTATTTCAGGATTTTAGTTATTAGAAAACCTAACTTAAACTAACATTATTGTCCTGAAATCTGAATCCAAATTCATACAAAACTGCATTGCTTCAAGTGTCAAAATAATTTTTTAGCTTCATCTAGACCAAGTAGCTCAATGAGCCAGCAGAGCACAAACAGCGTCACTAGTTCTGTGAACGTACGGCATCGCATCTCCAATGCCCCACGCAGACCTCGCCCTGCTAGCATCGCAGTTACTGGGGTTACAAACGAAATTAGGAACAGTTTTGACAGAGAACACAAACCACCTCTACCCAAAACCCGCAAACCTTTGTCCAAAACGAACACATCTGAGAAAATCGAAAAGGCTAAGCGGCCTCTTAAATCGCCAGCAGAAGAAACAGCTCCCAAGATTGTTGGTGAAGATAAGAAAGTCAGAAAGGAGATAAAGGAGAAGAAAGAGATTGAAGAAGTAATTAAGCTTCCTATTGAAAATGGCCACAAGGAACCAGAAAAAGAGGTGGAACCTGTAGAACCTGTTCAGGCTAAGGAACCTACACCCCAACTTCTTGTAGATCTTAAGTAAGTAACTTTTATTTCTTTCTAGGAATGTATCTGCATATCTAGTTTTTTTTTTCAAGTAAAAACAGAAAAAAAACACGTTATCTACTTGTCAAAGATACAATAACTATACAGACTTAAACGAGTATATTTTGAGATTCCATTAGTCGTGGATTTTAATTGTGTCTATCTTGGTCTTTCTCAACCTTGCTTCCATTCCTGGTCTAGTAAAACGCGATACAATTTACTATTCTTCTGTCTTGACGACACTTCTTATTTTGTGTATTTAAATTGGATCTTCTGAATAGAACTATAAAAGGGAAAACTTTTTAGAGCTTATAATAATGTATAAGAATAATGCACCTAGCTTTTATAAATAAATTTAACAACATTGTAGAATTTACTTACCAGAGGAGAAGGTTAAATTTGATAAGTTGACTAACAAGGAGCTACCAGATCAAAAGAGTATAAATAGTAGCAAGCTGACCTAAGGTCATCATTTGTTCACCATCATTTTATAAATATCAGTTATGTATTCTCTGCTGCCTTTCGTTACAAATTATTGCACAATTCCAGAATTAATCATACTATGGTATATCATGCTAAATTTCAAGTAACCATTATTATTGGCTGTGAGAAAGTTTTCTTTCTCCAGTTATATTATTGTGAAGGGATTATAATTTTGAACGAAAATCTAGAAGTTTCAACAAGAAGGCAAAAGAGAAAATTGTAGCTAATTTTAATTAACCAGGAAGAAATACACCAATAAACTTAGGCGCCTGAGAAATTGCTTTTCATTCTAGAATTTACAAAAAATACCCATGGAGTGTCAGCAGTTTTTTAAGTTAAAATAAGACATGATTGAATCTCAGCAAAAATTTCCAGGGATTAAATCTGAATTAATTCCTGTAAAGTTGTGTTAATTTTTTGCCAATTATTTTCAATAAATACCTATACGTATAAGGGGTATTTATTGTTTTTTTTTTCCTATTAAAAAAATAAATGCTATAACAACAATAACATCTAGGGAAGAACCAGTACATGATGTTCAGGAAGAAGCTCACAAGCCTCATATACCTAAACTAGATGAGACTCAACCACAGCAAAACGAAGCTACTAAGAGTGAAGGAAATCTCATACAGAACTTCATTAATAATGAAAGGAATTTATCTGCAGATGCATCTCACGAGTCAAGTGAGAGCGTGGCGCATTCTCAAACAACCACAACAATAATGACTACATCTGTAACAGAAACTAAAGAACTTAAGCCAGAAAATGGCGAATCTAATGAAATGACCTCATCAATGTCCAAACCAAGGATCAACACAGAAGAAGAAGCTAAAGCTGCTTTAGCGGAAAGAAGAAGGCTTATGAGGGAAGAAACTGAGAGGCAAGCTGAGTTGGAGAGGCAGAGAATTGAGGCTGAACAGAAGGCAGAGTTTGAGAAGCAGCAAAAGGAAGAGGAACAAGCCAGACTTCTTGCGGAAATGCAAAGGAAGGCTGAACAGGAAAGATTGCAAGAAGTGAGTAAACAATAATGCATTTCAATACACATTTGCTGCTCATAATTTATGCTTATCAATTTTTATAGCTTCTTCAAACCTAAGGTCTGTACAGATAGAAATTCTACAAGACAAAAAATATTGTCTGAAAGTAAATTTGTTATCTAGTCATGAAATAAAAGTCAATGAATAGAATCAATGTACTTTTGATCCTCGTCTTAAAGGCTTCCGTCTTGTCTTGATCCAAGGAATCTTCAAATTTGTGAATTGCCGCCTTTTATGTAACCTATCCATTATTATACTAGTTGATAGGCCGCCTCTGCCAGGCAATGTAAAATTACCTCGAAAATTACTAAAAAAATATTTATTTTCTTCTGCCACACCAGGCAACTCGAAGTAAAATGGACACCTTTTTTTTAGTGGACAATCTCAATCTCTCAGGTTTTTTAACTGAAAAAAATTAGTTGGCCACATTGCCTCTGTGCGAAAACGCGACGAACGTGGATGGTTCGACGCGGGGTCGTAGTTAAAACCCCCTTTTTTTTTCTAGATCGAAATTGAAAAATCTGGCTCCGTTAGGTTCTAGCCAGTATCCCAAAGAACAACTATTCCAAATTTGAGAATTCTAGGTCAAGTAATAACTTTATTAGCAAATTATACAGGATGAGTCCGAAATAAGTGCGCATTTTATTATGGTAGATAGAGTACAGTAGGACAATCACTTTTTGCATTGGTACGTGTGTCCGCAAACGTCTCGTTAAGAAAATACGGACTGAAATTTTCGAAAAATTTTGACTTTTTGTCTTTAGATTCAATATCTTTGTCTTTAGATTCAATAAACTTTTCCGAAAGAAAGTCAAAAACTCTAATTTCACAGGGAACTATTTTAAACACAATTAACACCAATAAAATTACTTCTTGGGATAGTGTTCTGAAGTTGTATCATTCGGTGATAATTCCAACTGCTTTATATTCTAGCTCTCTTTGGGGCCTCTATACGTTAGAAAATTTGGAATTTATTCAAAACACATATTTCAAAAATGTTTTGTATTTACAAAAAACAACTCCGGGATACATCATACGTTGCGAGCTAAAATTACCAAGATTAGCATATTTTGTTTTAAAAAATGCTATTTACAGCCTAATAAGAATAAAAAATTTGCCATCTTATAGACTGCCAAAAATTGCGCTTAATAGGCTAATTGCACTTAGTAAAACTCCAATGCCTACAAAAAAGGAAAATTGGTATCAAAGACTGCAATCTTTTCTCAGGGAAATGTTGGGCTTCCACTACTCCCTAGACCACTTAAATACTAAGAAAGATGCTGAATACTTACTCAAAAAATATGTTCTTTATTCACAAACTCAAGACTGGAACAGAACCTTGCTTAGTACCTACTGTCCATTTTATAAAAATTTATCACCTCACCCATTTAGAGCTAATGAATCAAATTACTTATACATGGAATATCCTTTCTTTTTAAAAAGATTTATTGCTTTAATGAGACTACACAATTCAACTTCAATTTATATTTGTATAAATCATATATCATATAAAATAGATTTTAATCAAGTGTGTACTATTTGCAACATGCACACTTTAGAAACTCTAGATCACTTCATCAAGTTTTGCCCATTATATAATCACGTAAGGCAACACTTCTTACCAGGGATATCCTCTGTGGATTTGGACGTATTCTTGAATAAAACCTCGGAAAAAAACATTAAAGCTCTATTTGCCTTCTGCAGGGAATCACTAAAGCTCAGATCTTTCATTTTAAATGAATAAAATTCCTATATATTATTGAGGTGGGAAACAGGAAAAAAAAAGGTAGCAAATGCAAATGGGATTTATAAATACGGTCACTGGTATGTAAAATATCAAATATTTAGGAGACAGTCATTTCAGTTGTTTATTTATGGCTTTTAGGATTAATGAATGTTAATTATTCTTAGTTTATTGGGGGTAAATGAGTACTTGGGGATTGTCAATGATTTTATTTTATTTTTTCTTTTGTTTGTACTTATGGAAAAATCTATCCATGAATGAAATAGTCACTGTGATTTTTGTTATTGTTTTTTTTTTTTTCTATGCTTTTACTTTTTAGGGTTTTTGAATTGGGAACCTCCAACCCACTGGTTTTTATTATCCAATGAGGTTTAAGTTCGTTTTCTTTCTTTATAATGTATTTATTATTATTATTTAATTTTTTTCTCCTTAGATTAAGTAGCTTTTGTAATCTTAATTAGTTGATTCTAACCTTCTTGTTATGTACGGAACTCTGTACAAGAAACAATAAAATTTTTGATTTTTTTTTTTTTTTTTGATTTTTTTGATTCAATATGTCTTGAGCGAATGTTCTCAAGCATCTTTCTAAAAAATCCGTTTGAGTTCCACTTTTCCAGGACCGGATCTAGAGCGACTCTAGCACCTATGGGCTTTTTCACAAATTAAAAATTATTTTTTGATTCCTTATTTAATTTTAAACAAAAAAGGTATTCCGGGTTTTTTTACTTGTTCGATGTGACGTTTACGAGATAAAAAATTAAAATCAATGTATTGTTTGGGAAATCTCGTTGTTCGATATACTCCACTCGGTTCCGGAAACTAAACAACAATGAAGTTAAAAAAGTTTATGTAATATTATATCGCAAACACTCTCTGACAATTTCGCTTACGGCATTTTGAATCTAAAGGCAAAAAGTCAAAATTTTCCGAAAATTTCAACACTGTATTTTCTTAACGAGACGTTTGTGGACACGTTCCTATACAAAAAGCACTTATTCCGGACTCGCCCTGTACATGTAGATAGATTATAAATCAACAACATGAAAATGGTGAAGAAAAAAATTAAAAATGAAAATGCCTCTGCAATGTTTGTATTCGATCATTTTTTTGTTCCTGATTATACCCCTAAATTGATAACCCCGGCGGCGTTATTACCCGAGTTTGTCCAGCTTATTGTCCTTGAGATGACCAAGCAATTGGCGACCTATTGCAGTACCTACTGCATTTAAATGGATCAAATGCGGTGATTTGAATTAATGCTTAGTCTACAGCAGTGGTTCCCAAACTGGAGGGCGCGCCCCCCTGGGGGGTCGTGAAGTAACATGAAGGGGGGAGTAAGTCTTCTAAAAAATTAATACAAATTTTAAGCTTTAAAATAAAAAATCAGTTAAAGTTTAAAAAAAGATGTCTACAATCCGGCAACAGCGCATACCTCAGCCAAAGCAGCTTTGCCATGCGATCATTGCTACAGCGTACGCTCGCTGCCCATTGTCATGCCCATTCCTCCTTTTCCAAAGTCCAGTTCAGACGAGTTACAGAGAGTAAAAAAAATGTTTTTGTATAATTGGGAAAGGAAGGGGGGCGCGACCACTTCTTGATTTCAGAAAGTGGGCTTAAAAGAAAAAAGTTTGGGAACCACTGGTCTACAGTCCGCATAGCTAATAAAAAAAATCGTTAATTCCTGTTTTTACCTGAAAATTGACTGCGCTGAATCTCTAACAGTGCAGTTTTACACTAAGAACCCCATGATAACACATACAGCGTGTCCGTAAAGTAACGGATAAATTCATTTAAAATTCATATACTTAATTTTTTTTTTGGAGAAACGCTCGTACACGTAGATCTTTATTTTAAGTGGCGCTGTTTTTAAACTAATTCGTATTTATACAAGGTGACCCAAAAAGGAGATATCACATGACACTTCAATTTTTTGAGTGGAATGCCCCATATATTTTGATGAATATCGATGGAGCGAGAATTCATCTCGATACGCTTCTATCGGTCATCAAGATATACAGGGCATACAATTTAAAAATTTGAAGTGTCACATGATATCTCTTTTTTTGGTCACCTTTTATAAATACAAATAAGTTTAAAAACTGTGCCACTAAAAATTGAGATTGACGTGTCCATACGTTTTCCCAAAAAAAAATATTGTCAACCCTACATGGGACCACAGGCTACAACCAAATTCAATACACTGAACCACAGGTTAAAACAAATAACTGAAACCAAACAAGAAAACACAACCAGACTAATTAACCTAATTATAGTCAGCAAATATTGGATATGAATGCCACAGGCCACACTATGGCAAATTAGTCGTGTCTCAGCGCTTTTCTGTATCAGTAGGTGTTTAGACACGTCTTAAAGTTGGAAGCTATCTGGCCGAATAGGGATTTCGTATCGTATCTCTGTCCGAGCAGATTTCATCTGACGACCCAGACTCTGTGAGTCGTGTCTCAGCGCTTTTCTGTATCAGTAGGCGTTTAGATACGCCTCAAAGTTGGGAGCTATCTGGCCGAATAGGGATTGCGTATCGTATCTCTGTCCGAGCAGATTTCATCTGACGACACAGACTCTGCTCTGCAGTACAGGCTTCCTAGCTTCTATTGTAGTAGCTGCTGACCACAAAGATCAAGCTTGGGCTTATACCCGACAGAGTCGCTCAGGTGCCTTTAGACCCTTTTCAGCCCGAAGGGACGTGCTGGCTCGGGATGATAACAATTTGGTAATACTTGTGTGTTTTACTCTAAATGTAATCTCTGCCCCAGAACATTAAATATATTATATTTATCTAGGGTTATTCTGGTATTCCCTTTCCCTTCCCGTTCTGATTCTCAGGGTGAATAGTCGAGCTACGTAGCGGAGCAATAGAGGCTTCGTGCACAGAATATATAGCTAAACCGCGGTTTAGCTATATATTCTGTGCTTCGTGACATTATGCTTAAATTTTAAATGCATTTATCCGTTACTTCACGGACACACTGTATATGCAGGACAGTGATATTATTCTGTACAGACTTTTTGGATGCACCCTGTTGTTTAATATACTGTTTCTATAGCTCCATACCTATTCAAGGAAAGTGTAGGGTTTGAAAAAATTGACAATCAGTAGGAAACTGATCATTGACCACTTTTTGTCATACATTCAATAACTCTAGTAGTCTATCTATTTTTTCTCTTAGAGCAGTTTATAGTACATCAGAAATAGTTAGGTTATTGGAAAATGACAAGGTGATACGAAAAATTTATGAATTTGGTTTCGCATCACCAAAGTTGTCTTTTGTATGCTGAGAGCCGAATTTTCCAATAAACCACTTCTTTGTTTATTGATTAGGATTAGGATACTCCTAAGTCCTGATCTTATTGTGTTTTTATGATTATTTTATTTTGTTAGGCCATAAAAGAAGTGCAAAAACGTGAAGAAGAAGATCGTCTACGAAAAGAAGAGGAGTTGAGACAGAAAGTGTTGAAGGAAGAGGCTGATAAAAAGGCCAAGGAAGAGGCTGAGAGACAGAAGGCTGAACTGCAGAAAAAACTGGAAAACGAAGAGAAAGAACGAGAGGAGCGCAGAAAGAGGGTTGAAATGATCATGTCTAGAACTAGAGGAAAGGCGAATGCGAATCTAGCATCACAACAAGTAATTATAATGTGCAGCTAGCAGTTTATTTTTGTTACCAATATATATATTTTTTTAGAATTCGCAAGATAGGAACGAAAATACTTCTGATAGTAAACAACAAGTAAACGATATAGAGTTTAACGAAGACAACCAAGTGAATGAAAATAAATTAAATGGCACGAAAAAAGAAAATGGAACTAATGATAGTTCCGCGACCCAAAACGGCAAAGGTGTAGATTCAGGAATTGACAATATGTATGTATCTTTGAGTAGTTAATACTAAAATGTAATTTTTAAAAATTTAATTACAATATGTGAAACAGTAATAGATGATGTGAGGCTTTTGCAGTAAGATACTTTTAAAGAACTATGTAGTTAGAATATGAAAATAAAACATCAGATAATAATAATAATAATAATAATAATAATTCCAACTGCCGAAAGATTGTGGTTTAACTAAAGTCATAATGTAGCGATTTAAAAATAATGTATTGAATTTACCAGTTATGAATGGTTTTCAAATGTCTTAATAAATGCAAGTGATTTGATCTTCAGTCCGCCCATTTAGCTCGTTTTGTCAATCAGCAGTAAAATTGTGATAAATTAGAAGTAGATTAAGCATTAAAACAAGTAACTGCAAAAGCCTTGGATATTAGTATAGATATATATTATTAAGTATAAAGGCAAACTTTTACTGACTGTACAAACGACTATAGTCCGTTCATGAAGTCTATAGACTTAATCAAGTGCGTGATCTGAGATTTTGGACGCTGATTGGCCAAAATTGGGCGACCAGCGCTGAATTCAAACGATTAACCTGTGGCCCTATAGTGAGGCCCCAAAATCTAGTCAATCATCGTCGATTATTTCCCTTCAATCTATAGACTTTATGAACAGATTTTAGAACTTCAGCTCTCTATACATATTTCGTGCAGTTTCATCCATTTGACATGCATACATTTCTTGAGGCTTTTTGGAAAATAAGAACAATGGTTGTTTAGAAGTATTCACATCATTTGCCAGACACCTCCAGGATTATTTTTGGTTTAAAATAAATTTCGCCACTTTTTGAAGTTAATATTATTTTGAATTGCGTCTGATTAGCGAAATGATTTGCTCAAATGGCACATACTGTACGTTTTTTTATTTTTATTTGTTGGAACAAACTTTGTAATAAGTTTGAATTGTGTCAGAGTATAGACAGTAAAAATTTGCTCAGTTTAGAAAAAGGCGTTTAGGATAAAGATGTTAAATTAGAGATTTGTAGAATTCCAGACCAGAGTGTAAATGCCAACACAGTAGCCGACACGATAAATACGGACTCATTAAATTCAAACAGTGCTTGGCAGACTTCGAGTCAGCAGTATGGTAACCTAATATGCAATAATAATAGTTAAAAATTCATTGGGAATGTTTTTCAGATACTTTGACGTAAGCTGAGCGTTGGAGTATATGCAACGTGTAAGATTTATTTTCTAGATTTAGCCCTTGTTCTAACGTTTTAAATAATTTATTTATATTTTTTAGTCTAATACTTTGAATGTCTTTCTTACTCGCCGAATCAAGTAGTGTTTAATTTCTATTTTTGGTCTGATTTTGTGTTTGCTTTGCTCTAATTTAATTTTGGAGATTTTCTATTGACCCAGTTTTGATATTTTGGAGTAGTTTGCGGTTTTACTTACTGAGATTTATTTACTTTTCCACTTATCATTTGATGATTTATAATCAACTTCAGGCCTTATTATACACTACCTGTCAAAAAATAATAATATTTTAACTGTAAAAAAGTCTCGAAACATATAGTATGTATATTTATTTAAGGTTTGTCTTTTTTTGGGATACTAATTTTTTAGACAACACAATTAAGCCATTAATTGAAAAGTTGATCTTCTAAAAAGCAAGAAATGCCTGCCTTTTTTAACCTTCATCTTCCTATGACAAAAAAAATTACGTAGATTCCCATGTGGGGTACATTCGCACCCCATGATAAAAATGATACTTCTGATAATTAAACATGTTTTTATTTATACTAAACAGTTATAATAGATAAAATCAACATATAACAAGAGTACAGTTAACGCAAAAAAAAAAAAAAAAAAGGAAATGGTATTTGCGACCATTGCGTGCCATCTTTCGATTTATAAATCAGATTTCCGCCTTCTACTTCCAGTAAACTTTCGTTCCCTTCCTGCTCCACAGATATTTCTTGACCAGCTTTATAATCATGATTTCTAAATTTTGCAGGTTCTGCAAAATTCCTGCAAGGTGACTACTTGATAGAGTAGCCACAGATTCCCATGTGGAGTACGTAATTGGGTACATGTGCCCCACGCTATGCAAAAATTATTATTTCTAAAAAATAAATAAATAGAAAATGTTTGATGATCACCAATTATGTGCAAAGCCCTCACTGACACAAAATAAAATTAGTCAGAAATGCACTTTTTGGGAAAATATGCTAGAAAAATTGTTTCCTGGAGTACATTTGTACCCCACCCGGGAAGACGAAGGTTAATGAAAATGAAATCTAGAATTTCATTGATAAAAATTATTGCACATATTAAAATTAAAAATAATCCCATCACAAAGATTTCAATTCAATTTATACATTTGGAAATGTCAAGAATTTCTTTTGAAATATCCCAAGCACACTTTAAATAAATAATAATGTGGCCTATATTTTAACCCAAGCCCTTCTTTACCAAAGCCATACCATAGTTTAGTTCATTCAAATTCCTTGAGTTTCAATTTCAGACGCCACCCTATTGTATTAATATTTGATTTTTGTTAGTCAATGAAATGTAAAACTCAGAATCAGATTTCAACAAAGTCTATATATCCTACTGATAGTATATATATTACATAATGAGTGTTGTCAGAAGCAAACTGCTCACAAAACGACCACACTTGATACAAATTTTTCAATTTGCTGATGGTAACTGTTGGCTACTCTCTGTTCACGCTTGTTCAAGTGAACTGAGGTTGTGGCAACATAACCCACAAAAATTTGAGATCAAGATTTTGACATCTCTGGGGCCAGTGTAGTTGCAGAGTTTACTTTTGTGTTAAATTTCGTACATTTTAGAAAACTTTGATAGTACCGTAATCCTTTCAACATATTCTGCGATAAAATTAATTGTATACAAATACTGACGCTTTTCATTAAATTAACAACAAAATGTGTTATTACAATTTCAAATGATTTTGTACAATTTATTCAAAATGAATGCACGAAATTCAACGCTAACACAGAGCATAACACAGAGCAATGCTGAAGAATGACGGCGGTTTCTTTTTAGTCTGTAGCCATCAGGCGGGTAAAATCAAAACCTTATAGTTTATGGTATGAAAGTGTGATATTCACTCTTTACAGTAGTGGCCCTAGGTAAAATAATGAACTATGGCCGGTTTCCGAACCACGAAAATAAATCAAACAATATTAATAAAATTATCTCTTCTTAACTTCATGTAACAGATGTTTTATGGTTCAGAAACCGAGCATTAATAAACGGCAACTTCAAGGTCAAATTGTATAACAACTAGGTAAGGTAGTCGGTATGGAGGCACTTTATGTTATTATGCATAGCCTTGATAAAGAAAGGGTTAGGTAATTCAAATTATAAATTTTTCCAAGGAATAATAATTGCAAAGTTAAAAACCACTATTTAACGTCGCCTTGATTCTGATATTGTAGAACCAGAGTTCTAAAACTAGGAAGCAAACAGGGTCTGCAGCATTCCTTATTTTTATGAAACATTTTTAAACTCCACTTAATTCAGTGAGTAGTGTCTCTTAGATTAATTTGTAATTTTATTTGTGTTATGATTTGATTACGGAAACGGTTGTATTTATATATTCAAGTGATAGAGTAAATATTTATATTAAAATGGCAACTCGTTTCATTTATGTTAAAAATTGGTTAGATTCGACTGAGCGGAACAAGGTCCATTTTGGTTGAAAAAAGGCTTTGGTAAAATTCTATTGTTTGGTCTTGATGAGCAAAAAAAATCACTTCTTGCAAATAACAAACCCACAAGCTTTTTTTGACCAGAATTTTCTCTTCCAATTTTTTTTAAATTTAACAACTCGGTCTATACTAGTCATCTTGTAAGTTAAAATTGTTGTATATGTTATCTAATGTACTCTGTGCTGTCCTTAATTGACGGTCTTGTAGCAAATATATTTTTATTATAATGAAGTTTGCATTTTATTAGATATGTATTGTTTTTATTTTTAAATAAAATTGCTAACAATGCATGTTGATTTTACTGAAAGAATAATAATTAAAGGGAAATGGTAGTTTTTTCACCTTTTCTTTCTGTTTCGATTTTCTATATCAATATCAGCAATAATCATATTCAAAGAAGAAAATAAAAAATCACTATCCAAAAATAGACAAATTGAAGCATGGAACATTATTACAGATTCTGAAAAAAATTGTGGAGTCCTTCGAACAGTTAGCCTGTTACATAGTTTTTTTTAAAATAGTTTTAGAGAAAAGTTAATGCTGACTGTGAAAGAGGAAATATTAAAAGTTGTTAATCTAAAAGTATGTATTTTCGTTTTTTCTGTAACTTGTCATTAATAATATTATAATATTTAATATTTGAATTGATTGAGCCGATACTTGGTGAAAACTGAAATCCATGGTTAGGAAAAAGTGAAACTAAATTTTACTTCCTATATTTTATTATAACAGTAACATGTTTCACTACACTGTGGCTTCATCAGTCTGACAAAGCTACATGTTACTGTTACTGTTGTAATGAAATATAGTAACAATTAGTTTTACTTTTCCCTAACTTTATTATTTAATATTAAACAAAAAATACCTTGAGGCAATTATAGGTTCATATCCTAAAATGTAACCGTAATAAATATTTGAAATTTAATGTCCTTTACATTGCTTGTTAAAAAGTGCTTAATAAATGTAAAATTTATTTATGACTTGTATTTTGTGACTTTGATTCTACCTTACCTTACCCATCCTATAAATTAGTGTTTTGAAGTGAAACTTATATGGTGTATTCCTATTCCATAAAGTTGCATCCATGTGGGCTTTTTTCAGTATTGTGATTATTATTGGGTTACGATAGGACCAATTGAATACGATACGATAGAATTGAATGCAGTTTTGTCTGCTCTGTTCATTCATGCAATGAAAATAGAAACACCAAGATAATCAATTAAGTGTTGTCCATATTGTGCATCTGTGCTTAAAATTAGCAAGATTTCTTCATCAAGTTTATTTTCTAATTAATTAATACTGGGCTGACACTGGACTTTTGGATGGGGCACTTTACTGATACAACACACAAATTTACCTGGAAGGTTTTTAGGAGTTTTGCTGTGTGTTCTTTGTGGTTAACATAATGACTTCGATAGAAGTTATATTGCATTCTTCTTCGACATTTTCCCAAAAGTGGTCCTTTACAAAATATGCATTCGATATTACCTACTTTGCAGAGTAGATATTCAAGTTTCATACAAATAAAAAATTATTTATACGGTTTTAGTATAGATTTAGCAGAACGGCCCTGGAAAGCTTTCAGGGCAGGTACGTTTTCCGCGCAGAAATTCTTTGGCTATGCTACGAAAGAAGAAAAGAAGAAAAAATTAGTATGAGAAGCATCCAATATTGCGAAATTATGAGCACATTGTCAATTAATATCCCGCCATTTCAAACTGCTGGCGATTGTAATGTCTGGACAAAGCCCGTCTGGATCCTTATTATCACATGCATATTATGTTGAAGTTTGTAAGTTTTTGGCTTCGTTTAGTTTCATTTCCCAAACTTTTGATATCCATTCCCTCTACTGTTCCTAAATTTTCTTGCAGTTCAGTTCATATTGTGTTTCCGGATATAGCTTGGTATCATCAGCAAAAAAAAGTTATTGTTGTTTTTATGTTAGGTGCCTAATCGCTGATATACACCAAAAAGACGAATGGTGTCTGCAGAGAGCCCTGAGGAACACCACTCAAAACTCCGTGTTTGCAACCCATAACTTTGTTTTTCACCTATTATCACTCGATTTCCAGTTTCTCATTTTCCTTATAACCGAGATGTTAGGCTTATTGGGTGGTAATTAGGGAAAGACATCAAAGACGAACTTTGTCGTATAATCACTCCCAAAAATGCTTGAAATATATCATAATTTTAATTGGGTAATGGCCCAATTAAGGACCGATTGAGAAGTGTTTTCTCTCTGCCTGGTGCCGGACCATCCGTGGACGCGTTTCGCTGTATCATAGTTCATCAGCACGGTTAGGTCCCGCAGAGAGAAAAAAACCCATTTTTGGTTCCATCCCGGAAATAGGTTTGAGATAAATAAAATGAAGACGGAGTCTCCATCTATTTTCTGGTCGGCACACCAATAAATACTGCAACCAAGAGCTCTTGATTGCAGTTTGCAGTATTGCAAGTTATAGCAAAGTTGCAGTATTTGGTGTGCCGACCAGAAGATAGATGGAGACTCCGTCTTCATTTTATTTATAGGTCATTATAATGTCAAAGTTGACATAATATATTTCATGAAACCTACATCATATTATCTGTGTATGAAAGCGGGAACATTTTTGTTTTTTGAGGGACACATTTTATTGGTGTTTTTATCTATCTGTCCCTAAGCGGGGATGACAGGTACCTACCACCAAAATTTCAAATGCAAAGGAGGGTCGAGTGATACGTCATTCTCGAACTCAAATATGCTTTATTAGCAGAAGTACACAAAAGTCTCACTGACAAAAGCTGTTGGAAAAACCTAATAGCTGAAAAATCTTTAAAAAATATTTAGTAACTTAAACCTAAACTGAATTTATGGATCTCAAAACCAAAAAAAAATAAAATTAACAAAACAATAAACGAATAAAAAAAATAAGACATTGAGATGTATTTTTTTCAAATCAAATATACAACATAATATTCAATAGACAAAACTAGTAAAAACAAAACTATTACTCATAAAAGTACCAGATCCATACAAATATGTAATCAAGAAATCAGTTAAAATAAATTGACTACCTCCGAAGACTCCAGTTTTGCCAATGGTTTTTGGACAAATGTCGAGAAGATCCGGGCCGGTATTCTCGTTCCCGAAAACGCTCACCGCTTTTTAGTCGTTCCGCACTTTCAATGTAAATTTACATTAGAACTGCCGAGCGACTAAAAAGCAGTGAGCGTTTTCGAGGACCAGAATACCGGCCCCGGTCTTTACAAGAAAAAATTTGTGGACAGATGAAACTCGCTTCACCAATTGTGGAATATTTAACAAACACAATCGCTATTAGTACTATTGAAAAGGCCTACTAATTGATGTATAACATGTTGACAAAATTTTGATATTTCACGGAAATATCTGATTGAAACCTTTGTCAAAGGAAAAACTAAAATCTGACATCGTTGTGTGAAAAAAAAAGACTTTCAGAGGAATACACTTAATTATGAGTTATGAGGAAGGAAAAACATGATAATATGACAGAATGACATAACCCGCGAGAACAAAAATATCCTATCATTGATAAGAAAAATATTTGTAAGCAACTAGAGAATAGATATATGGATAAACGTGAACAAATCCCAAGTAGCACATAATATTGGGTAAACATCGTTTTTCAGTTGGGCCTATATTTATTCATTTTTGTTGCTTAATGAACACAGTACCAATAATATTGGGGCAACGTTGGTTTTAACTATGTGGAAACAATATTTAAAAATAATCTTGTAAATACCAATATTGTTTTCATAGATTAACTGACTTTTCAGTAATTTGAATATTGGCCTAAGACTTCTCACTACAGTATTGATTTATAAAATATTGGCCAAATATTACATTTTATATTATCAAAACAAATATTAGGCATTCCAGGTCACGTGACTTTGACAAGGTCCGCCATATTTGCTGAGGGGCAAACAAAGCCTATAGATCATATTGTTTACAGTGTTTTTTGAGTTTGTGCTTCGGAATTTTTGCGTTTTTTGATTTGTTCAATAAGTTTTAAGTTGTTTTTAGTTTTTGTGAATGAATGGAATGAATGAATGAATCTTTATTTACAGACATATGCCACTTTACATTTCAACTCAACAATACTAAACAAACAATTTATTAACAAAAATAATGCTTAAGAATCTAAATTGTTTAAAGAATAAAAAAGTTTGATACTAACAACCTTACAAACAAGGGCGTACCCAGCGAGGGGCAGGGGGGGCAGCTGCCCCCCCTAATTTTTTTTATAAATTATAAAAAGGCTCCGCTAAGTGCAGAAAATAAAAAAATCAAAATAAACCACTATGGTTTTTCTAAAAAAATTACAAACCCGAAAAATATACTACTAAATACTACTAAAATATATTCATATACCTACGTAAGTCAAACGCAGCGCACTGCACAGCCTACTAGATTTGCAATTAGCGGAATTAGCAAAGAAATATGAATTTTCTATTACGATCCTGGCCCCTGCGAATTTGTAGTATTGTGTTGTTTTTGTAACGGAATTCGATTATTTTCATTTGTTATTCAATGTTAATTTGTTTGTGCAAGTACTGCAAGTAAACTTAATTTACTTAGTTGTTGATAAACGTCTATGCTATGTTGTTAGCAGTTACGTTACACTAGTAAACATTGTCAGAAATTTATATTAGATTGTACTGTAACGAAAATTACCCTGAGTCCGCCTCTGACACTTCCCGGCCGCGTGGAGAATTATCGAGACGCAGCGCGAAGCTTCGTACGTGCTGCGGAGAGAATCTTCGAGAAGCAGGCGCTTCGGATATAAAAGGAACAATGTCGGGCGGCGAGGGCAGATTTCGCCAGTGCCGGGTTGAAAAATAGAATACTTTTATAAATAAATACAAGATACAAGGCGTTACATAAACTAGTTAGTGTGTTTAGTTAAATTAATCAGAGTGAATTTTAGTTAAGTGTTAATAAAAGTATAGTTTTAATTAATTGGCAGCTTTTATCACATCGTAGTCGAACAAGTTCACGCTAAAAACGTTACAGTACTTATTGGAAAATCTGCTGAATCTACCTATTTCGGGCATCTCGGTATCTCCACACTGATAAATGGATATCAGGAAATTTTTTCAAACAGGTAAGTTACAGTTAGTAAGTTACATTCGACGACATTTGTGTAATATCTGTAAATTCCAATTAAAAAAAACAAAATGTTTTTTTCCATGTTACATGTTAAACAAAACACTAACATGGATATCACTCACACTGTATAAAATACTAATAGCGGCATTATTATGTTTTGCAGCTACTAAAACTCTCAAGAGGAAAAAAGAACATGACAGTAGCAGCGGGAGCGATGATAACAATGATCAAATTTCATCGCCAAGCCCATCTAAAACTGAATCTGAATCTGAGCAACCGCTAAATTCTTTGAGATCTAAGAAAGTCACTGCTGCTAATTTAGAATCTTTACCGTCAACATCTGGCTCTGTAGTCAATCCCGAAATTGAAGAGAATGATGGTCGCCACGAAAATGACTTGGGTCGTTATGTAGGACAAACATTTCACCTGACGATGGAAAGAAAAAAAGAGTTGTTAAAAAATCCGTGGGTTCCACCCAAGAATTACGATTTTGCAGCCGATGCCAGTCATTTGCGAAGAAAATTAAATTATGCTTGGTTAGATCAATACACACCATGGTTAGTGTATTCCAAGCGACTAAAGGGTGCTCTGTGTAAGCACTGTGTTTTATTTCCTCCTTCTACTGGCACAGTAAGGGGAGTGTTAGGTTCATTTATGATCAGACCATTTACGAAGTTTAGGAATATGCACGAAGATTGTCGTAAACATGCCACCAATAACTTTCACAAATCTGCATCTGCTGCTGCAAAGGCCTTTCTCGAAAATATACCTGTGGACATTCAAGTTCAAAGTTTCCACCAAAAAACAATCGAAGAGAACAAGCAAATATTGGCCTCTATTATTTCCTGTGTAGTATTC